ATCGTTCCCGCAGCTTTAAGAGCGTCAGTGTAGGAAATATTGTGGCTTTTCTGTCAAACTCAGTCCTTGGGAGTATAACTGCAATTCACCAAGCAATATTAGCATTAAAATAATACCTAAGCGGGAGCTTAAGTGCAATACCTGAGATCTGATACCTGGTAAGGTTACTCTGACTGCCTGAGCATGTGTGTGGCTGGGATAATGAATTCCTTCCACTGGGGTCCGGAATGACATTGAAGGAATTATAGCAATAGGCGTAAACATCCAGCACGGGTGTCAAAGTGGTGTTGTGGGTGGCATCTGGGAGCCGTTGCATTTGGCCCAGTGGTTCCACCTGAGAGCTATCGCCCCGTAACGGCTCATTTTGAAGTGATAGACTGTTCCCAGCTCAAATCCCCCCCCCCCCTCCATCCCCCTGAAGGCCCTGGGTAGTAAACGGACCATTTGGCCTCTCTGATGGTAAACATCGGCAGGCTCTGTTAGTTTTAGCGGTCTGTGGCGACATGACAGACGAAGGTGAGCGGATAAGGAAGGGGGGGGGGGGGGGGGTTCCGGGGGCCACACAGGCACCACCCGACGTTTTTTTTTTTTTTTTTTTGGGGGGGGGGGGCGCTTTTGGCTGCATGTGCCTATAGGGACCCCACCATGGATGAATTCTCCTCAGTGGTAGATTTTTTTAATCTGAAAGCAAACTTTTATCACGGGCCATTTGCTTTTAAGTTTGGTTTTATTTTTGGGGGGAGGATTAGAAGAAGAAGAAAAAAAACGAGTTCCCCTCTGTGAGGATTAGTTATCTCTTCTGTAGATACCTCTCTGTGCCAAGAAACATGTACTTTTTAAATCCAATTGCCAGCCTCGTGCTTCTCCTGTCAGGAGCTTTGGATGCAGAGCCCAAGGTATCACCCTGTAAAAAATAAAAAAAAATCACGTGCTTTCCTACTATCTTTCCGACTCTCACTTTTAAATCCTCCTTGAAAAATTTGTCATAGATTATGGGCTTTTATGGTTATTACCGATCAGCCGGGTCCATCTGCAGAACGGCATCTCCGGCGGGTCCTCCTGATGAGCGAGATGGTTTATCACGAGGCGCATGGGTGGGAGGAGGGGGGGGGGCTTCTCGCCTTAAGGCCCCGGAGACGCTCCGCATTTCAAGGCATTAGATATCGTCTGGCAGATTTTCTGATCAAATGCAGGTTTAAAGGAAAAAAAAAAAAAAAGAGTCTGACTTATATTGTAAGACTATTGCGCATCCAATAATCCACATTATAGCAGCAACTGTCGACAAAGTTTAGTAGATAAGTTTGACTGTCAGTATAAAAATGACTTCTGGCTAAAAGTTAAACAGCCAATCCTTGTCATTCATAACAGACAGTCCAGCTTGACTTGATTTAAAGTCCATCCATTTTTTGAAACTGCTCAGTCCTAACTGGGGTTGCGGGGGGGACTGGAGCCTATCCTGGGAACAATGGGTGCAGGTGGGAACCAACACCTACACAGTCACACAACTACAGGGCCAATTTAGACTCACCAATCAACCTAACCTGCATGCTTTTGGACTGTGGGAGGAAGCCGGAGCCCCCCAGAGAAAACCCACGCGAACATGGGGAGGGCATTCGAACTCCACACAGAAAGAATCTGGGACCGAACCCAGGACCTTTTTGCTGTGAGGCTGCAGTGCCAACCGCTGTGCCACCCTTGATTAAAAGCACTTCCTGTATTTTTTTATCTGTATGGTATTGTTATGAAAAAACATGGAAAATTACATAAGACTCAAATTTTAAAGTAATTAAGTTGCTTGGCTTTCGTTGTATATTATTATCTTAAAAAAATACCAAATAAGCTTAACCCTTCAATTAAAATGATGTCTTTCCAGTTTTTGGTGTCTTTAACGTTGTATATGTATTTAAAACAATCAAAGCTGACTGTCTATTTGAAGTTACATCTCATGTATTCCTTCAAGATCCAGGAACTAGAGACTATTGACCTGGTTTTTTAATGACCTTTTAGTTGTGAAGTGTCAGTCGCTTAAAAATGAAGACCATCCTCTCTGAAATGACGTCCTGAAACAGCGTGCTGCATGGCCGACACGGTCTGTGGTTCACAGGGTGACGTGATGTCTCATGCGATGCTCTCATGCATTCTTCTCATGCGAAGCTCACGTGGGCTTCGTACAGGAGACACAGCATGCTGGGCTCAAAGTCGGCCTTCTTCACCGTTCACCACTCGCTCCATAATCAAAAACTCCACATCCCGAGGAATTCAGCACATCTGCAGTCCCAGTCTCAGCGTCTCCCCTCTGATCCTCGCCGCCCGACATCAGGTACTTACTCCGTGGAGCCGGGGGGATGGACCTTTGTCAAGTCAATTATCTGCCTAAATCCCCAAAGTGTTGTGAAGTTCTTGTTTATGCCAAAATGGGCTCCATCGCTTTCTGGAAGCCGGCGCTGAGGTCTGGGTTTGGAGAGAGTATCGCTCTGATGACCTGGGATGCAATAATCATGCAACTCCCACCAGACAAGGGTGTCAGACCAAATAAATTAATGACGGAACTGCTGGCTAGCGATATGGTGAGGACTTTTTGGTAACACTTATGAAGGTATCTATAATGCATTATAGATGAGCGCTTCGAGTAAAGTATTATAATAAGCACTGTAATGCTTTATGACTGTCAATAGAAGATGCAGTAATGCTTTTAAAATTTTTAATACTGACCATTACAATGCATTACAAAGGTATCTATAGTGCATTTTCGACGAGAGCTTCATTGGAGCTTATGAAGTATTATAATCAACACTATAATGCCTTATGACTGTCAATAGAAGATGCTGTAACACTTTCTTATACTGACCCTTATAATGCATTAAGAAGGTATCTGCAATGCATTATACAAGACAGCTTTAAGTAAAGTTACGATTTATTTTAAAGTTACAATTTTTTTTTTCCATTTCCCTGGATCCATGACGGTCTTAGAGAGGAGTGCTGGTGTGCAGGACTCTTTGGAAGCTAAGCTGCCCTGAATTATGAAACCTTTTGTGTGGGAGTTGCCTGCTGAAGGGAAAAACCACAGTGTTCAAGGTAGGAAAGGATACAGAACTTACTGGAAGCTGGGAAGAAAACCTGGGCATATCTTCTGCTATGCAGCCTTTGGGTTCTAATCCAGTCTCCATCTGACTGGTTGTTTTTCAAGGAGATCGAGGTGGATCTTTGCGCGTCATGTGGTGTCGGGTTACGTGTGTCACTACGGTCAACTGAGGCCGCGGGGACGGACGGACCCAATTTTTTTTGTTTGCTTGGGTGCTCTGCAATGAGCTTCCTGTCGATCCTGGAGACACTGAATGGAAATCGTTGACAGACAGATGTTGTCGTCCCCCCCCCCCCCCCAAACTAGGTCCTGCTTTTATTTGTTATCCTCTTCGATGTCTCCAACCTTTCAGTCCAAACGCTACAAAGGAACTATCTGCTATGTGAAGGAAAGTAGCTTTAAACTGTCATTCTCATTTCTCTGCGTTTGGTTGGGACACTCAGACATGCACAGACTCTTGTCAGGAACTGAAATACTTTGCAGAGATTTACTGGAGGGAACTAATGTTTTCAAAAGGATCTTTTAAATGAATCAAGACAGACTGCGGAGGTGCATAAATTATACAACGTTCACATAATTAACCGAGGAAAATTATACTATATATGATTATTGAGATGTATTGTGCGCCTTAATTAAGTCATAGCACACCTTGAGTTAATCAGGGCCAGCACTGGGTTACGGGACAGTCCAAAGGAGTCAATCAGAGCAGTGGTGTTTCTCTTGGATGTGGCCCCCAGTCTTGGCAGCACACAGGCCCAATTTAGCAGCGCTCTGGTGGACAGGCTGCCAAAGGAGTGTGCTAGCATTGGAGCTAGCCAAGGCTAACTCTGCGAGGCCAATGGTGAGTAATCAGCCCCCACGCCTCAGGAGAAAATGTGCTACCCGACATACTGGAGCATTGAGCGTTTGGATGAAAGTAATGGGGTAAAGGAATAGATATTGAGAATTAGAATAATGATCATAGGTGAATCAAGACCCTTTTTAGGATGTTCTGGCTACCTGTTTTTTTGTTGTCCCAGCCCCCATGGAAAGTTATTTTTCCAAATCCATTTAGCGATTTATCCTATATTTTCATACACCCAAGGTGGGGGTGGGGGGGTGTGAATCCCATATTTCTAGCTGACCTCCCCTAGTGGTCACATCGTAGAATTGCTCCGATAATGATCATGCTAAAATTTCCAATGGCGCAGCTAATGTGTTCATCATTTCTTATTAACGGTTAACTTTAGCTCCACGTGTCTTCACGTTTTCTCCTTTTTTCTTTCTTTTGGAGCATTAAAATCCCATCATTGCATAAGCATGTTTTCCCTTTCGTAACACAGGTGATGACAGGGCCCTCGCACTGGGAGCCGTCTCGTCATCCGAGCGGAATCCGGCAAACGTCCGTGCGGAGTCGCGGGAGGGCCTGCCGTTTGTTTGTGTGTTTTTTCACTCTTCTGTGCACCCACAGAAACCGCACACCGCCAGTTGGGCATGACGTGCCCTCCGCCCCGCCGCTTTCGTGCTGACGTTGAGGCCGGCGGAGACGTCGCCTGGCTGCTTTCTCGCATTTTCGGGCAAGTGGATTCACCTCATTTAGCGTCAATAGAGTCTTCAAAGAGCTGAGGAGACCGTGATGGGGGTCTGACAGACAAGGTGCCTTGCAAGGGGCTGTTTTGGACTTTTGTGGGGGCTTGGCTTGGCGCACGCGCTCCAATCGCGTGTGTGTGTGTCGGCCCATTTTTCCTGACTTGTGTTAAGCTGTATTTTCAAACGGAAGATGTAGACATTTTGCTCGCATGATCGCATGTTGTAATTTGAGCCCTGAGCAACATTCGATCCGCACCCTTTCTTAAGCTGAAGACTAGCGTGTTAAGGATTAGTGGGAAAGCTTGTTTTGTTCACGTTTTTTATTTTATTTTATTTTTTTTATCCAGGCTCTGAGGTTGTCACGCATCTGTAAGCGGAGAAAAGTTTCCTCGGTAATCAATCACCATAGCCGGCCGTCGTTGGTGGGGTTAGCAGAGAGCTAAAGGGTACCCATGTGGTCAAGGTTACTCTCCTTAACCCCACTATGGCTTCCGGAAGGCTTCCCTCCAGATTTGACAACATTTGCTCCATCGTGCACATGCATGTGCCCCTGAGCGTTCACCATGGGGAATCGGAGAGCTGATGCTAATAGCTACCAGTTTGTCATCATCAACGTCTTCCTAGGCCAAGATTCTACTTTCTTGAAGTAATTTCGCAGCAACGTGAAGAAGATGTTTCTTTCAATTTCCAGAGGATCCGCGGCATTCCTTTAGGAAACTGTGATTGAGATTTTGCGAGAAACTTGGTTACAGCCTGACTCAATATTCCCATTTAGAATAAGACTGTCATTTAGAATTTTACAAATTACTGTGGTTCATGAAGCTGCCTTGTTTTGTGAAAGTTGATCATAAGCCAACACATTGTCATAATAATCCTAAAACTGTAAATTAATTGTGCTTTTGTGGATGTACTGGTGTGTGGAGCGGCCTACATCTGTAAGGCCTTATGTGTTTTTGAGAATAATATACAAACACAAAACTTGCTTTATGACTCTTTATCCTTCTTATTGCAACTGTTCACACTGCAATTTTATGGCAAAAGGAATGAAAGAAGACAGAAAGGTGAAGACAAAAGAGAGATGGCACACCTAGATCTTTGAAGTCGACTCACCTGTCAGTCAGTCGGAGTCTGGGCGTGTACGAAGAAAATTTGTTTGTTTCCCTTTCCAGTGGAACACAAACGTGACCCGTCGCTAGATTTTGTTAGTCGCCATGTGTATAATACATGTCTAACTCCATCATCCAGAACTTTCCCAGCTTATAAGCAAGACAAAGCTGACAGAGAAGAACATGGAGAACAGACATTACGAAAAAGGCGAAAAAAAAACATTACATTCTGCTCTGGGACCATTTATATATTCATAAAATAGCATATAAAACACCATCCTCGCGTGAACAAATTGAAAATAAGTTAATAAAAAATACAGCTTGCATAATGGTAGATTAGAGTCTGAGTCGATATCTAACACTATAAGCCAGATTGGACAGTAATTAAATCCAGAAGGCAAGAAGGAGCTTTACACAGAGGGAAAAGGGAAAGTTGTAGTCATATATGAGGTGTTATGTGCATAAAATTCTGAGTAAATTTTCTGGAAATATCAGTAATTAATGCCACAAAGCATACAAAATGGATCAATGTAAACCTGTTTAAGGCATTAAAAGAGGCACCAGTTCTTTTCTTTAGCAAATATTTTTTTCTGAGATAAATACTTAAAATTATGGGGTTAAGAATATTAACGATCCATTTTCCAACCTGCTTATGCTTTTTGGGTCGCAGGGGGTGTGGAGCCTATCCTGGAAGCTACGAGGTGGGGAACCACCCAAAGTGGGGGGGCCAGTCCATGACAGGACACACTCACACACCATTCACTCACCCATGGGCAATTTAGTAACTCCAATTAGCCTCAGCATGTCTGTGGACTGTGGGGGGAGACCGGAGTACCCGGAGGAAACCCCACGACGACACGGGGAGAACATGCAAACTCCACACACATGTAACCCAGGCGGAGACTTGAACCCGGGTCCTAGAAGCAGCAGTGCTAACCACTGCACCACCATGCCGCCCCGAATAGTAACCATTAACCATGTAAACAATCAGAATATTTTAAATTTTCACATAATGGCTTTCTGAGAGAAAAAAAATATATACGTAATGAATGGGGAAAAAAAAAAAACATTTGCATTAATTTTCTGACTTTTTCTATCTTGAGTAATAAAACCTGATGTTATTTTATATATGGAATAGCACTCACTCTGCAGCTCCGATCTCTTTCAAGTACCGACAAACTTGTACTTTTGCTTTACATTGCTCTGCATGTGTCTATAACAATCTGCTTCACCAACGCACCCCTACACACAGTCAAAAACACATATACGTCACGCATCAGCTGATGGTCTCATTAATAAACTTTTATGCAGTGCTTTTTACACAACTGTGCATAGAAAATGAATTCCTAGATATTTCAAACCTGTATCTTTTCAATAACCAAGGTTCCTGTCAAACTGGAATCTGTCTCTAGATGGACGTTTCACACAAACAGATGCTGTTTGATATTTAATTTTGTGACATCGCTGAGCCTTTATGCACTAGCTCATGCACACAGTGTCACCTTTGAGGGGCACTTGAGAGTGACAGATTCACTTGGGTGACAGGAGTGTCACAATGTGTCACAACATCACTGATAATCTACCACCTCAGCGCTACCATAAGTGAAACCGGGAATTTTGTTTTTCCGTTTTTCTCGCCAAGTGTCACGGTGCATCACAAAAGAGTCATAATTTCAGCTGATCTACTCTGCAACCTTGTGCAAGATGAGTGATTGGACACCAAATGGATGGTGTTATCTAGACTGTTTTTGAAGGGCATCAGAATTTACCTGTAAGATATTTTTGCAGCAATACGAATATAAGTGGATAATTAATTAAAAATGATCAAAAAGGAGATCTTGCCAGAAATAAAAGCCTGGGCTTCTCAGGAATGAGTTACAGTTGCACATTCAAACATCAATAATCCTCCCGCTACATTAAACTTGTAGAGATAAGGGATTAATTTGGCACTTTTTTCTTCCTTTATCTCCTCTCCTAATGAGCGGGGGGGCAGTCTGTGCTTGCTTTTCTTCTGCCGTGTCATTTTGTGTTCAATAAGCTCTTTGTGCGACTTTGGATCCTGCTTCCGTAATGACGGAGATAAGGACGAGGCGTGTTGGGGAGGGTGGGGGGGGGTGACGTTTGTTCCACCACAGTTGTGTCATTCAGGAAAGAGGACGGCTGCCTCAGAACGGCATGGCATGCGTGAGATTAATCACTCGCAGCTGAAGATTCTTAAACGGCAGCAAATGTGGCGCCATCGTTTCTGACCGTGCACCAATGCAAGGGGATGCCAAGGAACAGCAATCGGATCCCTTCCTTGGGAAGTGTGCATCCTGGCCACTTATTGCGATTTCTACATCTGCGGTTAATGTTTCGAGTTTGGCGACGTGCCTGATTAACAGGATGGCTTGACTTGCTTCTCACTCACGGCCATTCGTGTGCGTGTGATGCTTGGGGCCGCCTGTAGGAGGCGCAATGGTGTTAGCCTCGAGTGAAGCGAACGCAGGGGATTGATGTCCGGTTGTGCAAAACGAAGGGGGCACGGTTCTGCTCTTTGCAGGGCATGGTAACAACAGGAGGAGAGCAGAGGTACCTACAGAGATATTCCAGATGGACTCAATTCTTCAGTGTCCTGCAGAAATATCAATGCCCTGTTTTCTCATCAACGCTGACAGGGAGACTGTAAAAAAAAAAGAACAAAACAGTTTTTATCTGTTATTTGTAACTAGAGTCAGGAAACATGCAACCACTGCATCTCCTGGACTGTCGGAAAGTGACACAAGACGAGAATATAAGTAATGCGATGAGTGATGAACTTACAGCGGCCAACTACCTTCAAGCTAAGATTGAAGCTTTCATTAAAGGCTTCAGAATTTAACTTTTATAGCAGACTGCCCCGATTAAAATGACTCAAATAAAATCAGTCCTTAACCCCTTCAGTTTCATTCTAGTGTCACCCTGCTGAAAATAGTGTGACCTGTTTTTTATTTTTAGTTTGCAATTTAAGTTTAATTTAAATTTCCTTTGTACATTTTAAGTCAACTTTGCTGTGTATTTTTTTTTCTTTAAACTTGCAAACTTAGTGTCAGGGATTCTGTAAAAAATGACTTCAAATGCTAGCATTTTTTTTGTTTTGTTTTGAATTTTTGGAGCACCGCTTATATACAATGACTTGGGAACATTTAATTAAACTTAAATTATTTTTTCCCCCTAAAGATTAGCGCTGCAGTGGGCTGTGATGTTTCAATTATTCATTTGGCACACTCCTTTATGCAAACAGACCAACCAAAATCACAACAAGAATATAAATACTTTATGATAACAGAATTATGCAGAGTCAGTTAGTGTATATCCTTCCCGTCAGCTGTAACATAAGGCTTTGTATAAGTGGAACTCCATTCCCACGATGGTAATTATTCTGCAATTAGTAAGAGAGAATAGAGAGGTTATTTTTAAAAACCTGGCAGCTTAAAGGATGTGGAACATAAACTATCACCCAAGAACACAGGCTCTCGCGTTCCCAATTTGACGTTCTCGACCACATCGAGTTTATCTGGAGAAATTAAAAGAATGCCGCCCTTTAAAAGCCGCTTTTCTGTAAATAAACAGACATGCATTTGTGAGGCTTTTTGTTTGCAAGGCAGACGGGAACCAACAAAGCGCTAGAGAAGCTTGTTTGAAATGTTACCTCTGCTGAGGAGTTAATTCTTGGCAGCGGTGCGGCGAAATCATGGAGCCGAACAGCCGTAACCTGTTTACGAATCCGGTAAACCGTCTGTTTCGGAGTTTATGGAAATAAACATCGAACATTCTTTGGGCTATCTGCTGTTCAGCGTTCAGCGCTTTCCGTGATTTATTTTTCTCTCTATTTATTCTTACAGTCTTTTTCTCGTTATTTTCGCTTACGACCCACATGTTCTCCATTACCATCGTCTCGTTGCGCCCCGGCGTTCCCAGGCCACTTGAACGATGACAAATGGTTCTCGGATGCACCGGACTCGACCCAGCATGGAGGTGAAGCACTTACAGGTGTGACAAGATGTAGTGCACAGTCCAAGCGGTGTCAGCAGAAATCCACGAGTTCTAGATTAGCGCCTTTTACCATTTACTGTGTTTTGTGATCATTAAATTGGCTCACTTTGGCAAGTCATACACTCTGCCTTGCTGGGCGAATATCAGGCTGTACTATAACCATGTCTTATTTGTTACAATCCACAATGTCTGATCAAGAAAACTGAAGAGCAAATTTCACGAATCTCACTCAGTATGGTTTGTAAGTAGGTACCATTTCTATGGTTCTGGCAAATTTAACAAAAGTGCTTCAATGGATTACATGAGGACTGAGTGAGTTTTGGTTCCCAGTGCTGTAACATATGATGAGGAAGCCTGACTTGACTTCATTGGTGGTCTCCTCTTAAAAACGACAAAAACTGGACTGAGTTTTGGAAATGTGCATGCCAGTCGTGATTATGAAGTGAAGGAAATGAGTGGCACATAAATGAATAACAAAAGAGAGGGGGTTCTCTTAACTGTAAATTCTGATTTAACACATGGGAGGAAGTGAACGTGTTATTGGCAAGGCGAAGTCATGTGACAAACCTATTCAGTCATCTGTTCATAATTACTAGCGACATAAAATAAAGTTCTCTTTATTCTCTCACTCCCAAACCTTACTGCTCTGACTGTAAACCCTCAGCAGCAATTATAAAAGTTGTAAGTTCCAGTTCTAGAAGATTCTTTGCCGTTCTAGCAAAGTGCATCATTATCATTGCTTAACAAAGCATATCAGCTGTATAAGACCGTTTGCATAAAGTATGATCAGTAGGTTCGACTCAATTGACTTTTATGGCTGTCCTTCACAACATGCTGATTGGGATAGAGGCAGCCGTCCAGCACCATAAACAACAACAGTGTTATATCTTGCCATTTTAAAGTAATCTACTCACACTCACATTCTCCACGGCATGGAGCCGCGCTCACTAATGAGGCAGGTCCCGCTCCAGCTCGAGGTTCAAAGATCTGCGGCCGCCTGAGGTTTTTTCTTCCTGAGCCACTGTGGATTTCTGAGCCCCGGCTGATAGTAGAATCTCCACTTTGCTAGTTAAGGGAAAACCTTAACTAGTAACCAAGGAGTTAACCTGAAGGTAAATCCCGAAATGGGACCTGATGTTACACATTGGAACAAAATACACATTATAGATGAGAGCTTCATAAAGTATTTATAATGTATAATAAACATAGCTATAATGTGTTATGCCTTTTTATAAATAGTTATAGCCATCTTCATAATACCTTATGAATGCATTATGAAGGTATCTATAATGCATTATAATGACTGCTTTAAGTGTTAGCGTTTCAATTTTTGTGGTCCTAAATATCCGCCTGAATAAGCTAAGCTTGGTAACTCGGTAATCGCACGTTTGTGCCACCCTTGTTGTTAGTGCTGGTGATAGCGTACAGGTGCAGGGAAGTACTTCCTAGGATGACATCATAAAAAGGCCAGTTCTTACTCAACACAGTGTGCTACCTCTCCCCAAATACTCTCCTAAAGCAGTTCCCCAGAGGGCTCTCTCTCGCAGCCCCTCCACCCTCCTCAGCAAAATGGAAAGCTCCAGTGTTAATGAGTTAAAAAAAAAAATATAAAAAAATACCCGCGGACACCTGTGACCGATGTGTGACATAGCTCGAGGGCCGGATAATTCTAACTCCGCCTGCGCTCGGAAAAAAAGCGCCGCACTCTTAAAACAGCTTCCTGTGCTCTGCCAGGTGGCCGCCACGGCGCTCACAGACGCCGTCAATCATCTCATTCATCGCAGGGTGACTCTCACAGAAACCAATCTGGCTACTGGGGCGACCTTTGATTGTACAAAAGTACCAATGGGAACCTCATGCCGCAGAACCACTGACACGGGGTGGAGGGTTAGAGGAGGGGGGGGGGAGTCCCACACGGCAAAGCCGTAAGCAGTCTATTGACCGTTAATTGAATTATGGATACTTAGCACTGACCTGTGATCATTCAGGATGTGTGAAAGGTATAAAACAGAGCCTTTACAGCAGGGGTCTCCAACTCCGGTCCTGGAGAGCTCCTATCCAGTAGGTTTTCTATCCTACCTGGCTTCTGATGAGCCACACCTGTTCCTGGTATTTACCTGAGAACAGGTGTGGCTCATCAGAAGCCAGGTAGGATAGAAAACCTACTGGACAGTAGCTCTCCAGGACCGGAGTTGGAGACCCCTGCTTTAGAGAGATGGTTCTGAGGTGTTTGGGTCTCCTCCCCCTTGTCAAAAACCAACCTTTAATAAAATCCCACTTAAATCTTTTTAATGTCTATGTCACATGGAGCTGTTCACTGGGCAGCAATTTAGTTCAAAACATACATCTACAAAGGTGCAGATCTATATATAGAACCTACCAAGGTGCATATCTCTGCTGCCTTTGGCCAATGTAGTGTGTTTTAAATGTGACACTTGGAGTACTTACAGGAACCATGAAGGTATTGTCTAGTGCTCGAGCCAAATGCTAATGCCAGTACCAGTTTTGACACAAGAGCCCTTCCAAGTACTTAAGTTTTTTTTTTGCATCCTGCATTGTAAAGTACAATAGGCGCAATTTGGCAACAGAAGAATATCATTTGCATAGTCCTTTAAAGCACCAACCTGGCGAGAAGATTTAAGTAGGAGTGCATGAGTGCTGCGGAGTTGCTGGTTCAACAAAGGCTGCGCATTTTCGCAGTAATGGCATAAAGGACCCTGCGATGACTCTTTAGAATGCATTTTAATCCCAAAAATGTGTTCGGCTTTCATGAAACACGATGGTCTTTTATCTGCTTCACCGTGTCAAATGTTTAACACTCAAAAATTCTTGCATGGGAAAAAAAACTGGCAGCTATTTTTACTTCATCATTTCTCGGAACAAGTTAGGTTCAAAATTTTGAATGCCAGGAGCAATGAATTGTTTCACGTACGGCAGGAAGTAACCATGGGGAGAAAATTAATCACCCTATATCTGATGGCGTGGCTATGTTTTTTTTGATTCTGTATGTTATCAGATCCGAATATCAGACGGGGCAACAAGAAATTTGATATTCAAGTAACATGAAATTTGGTATTGGGTGAAGGTTTATTTGCACAACTCTTAGTGCGCAACTTCAAAAAGGAAACACCCCTTTTAAAGCGGCGATCACTTGTTTTTCCATCGTATGAACACCTGAGGGAGGGCAAAAAATAAAAGACCAACTTTCATTCACAAATTACCCTTGATCCATTGCCGGTCAACCCATTAAGTGACATAGGCGGCCGCCTAGGGCACCATCTTCTGGGCCGAACCACTTAGCCAGACAATTTCGCTTTATTTCAGACGGGGGGTGGTCAAGCCTGCCATGGGTGCCACATGGTCTTTGACCAGTACTGTCTTTAATAATATTCTACTTTGCCTGAATTCTTTACACCAGGGGTGTCAAACTCCAGTCCTGGGGGGCCGGAGCCCTGTGTAGCTTAGTTCTTTCCCTTTTCCACCACAAGTGATTCAGCTCAAGAGCTGTGTGGTAATTAGCACAAGGGGTTCGATCAGGTGTGATAAATGAGGGGAAACCCAAAACTGTACAGGGCTCTGGCCCTCCAGGACTGGAGTTTGACACCCCTGCTTTACACTATTACCGTTTGCTGTTATCTATTACTTATTCTTACTGCCTATTCTAAATGTGTATATTGTACTACTATAAACCTGAAATTTCCTTTGAAATTAATAACAAATATCTATGTATCGATATAAAACACACAATCCAATAGTCCAGGACAAGTTACACTTTCCCCAAGACCTACTCCCTCCATTTTGTGTCTTTCCCAAAGCAGAATCTTTCGTTCATTTTTCACCCCCGCATTTGTGGAACTCCCTGATAATTAAACGCTCCTCATTCCCTGGCCCATCCTCCCCTCCCCGTGTCCCGATCTGCCCCTGCTAAAGTGAATCGCGTAGCCCCCTTCCCTGCCAATGGCTGACACCAACGCATCCTGTAGTTATAGATGATCCTGTCAGAGCTTGGTGGAGGAATTTTCTCACAGTTCTTCATGCAGAACTGATTGGCACTTGTGGGTTTGTGAGTATGAACGACTTGCTCTAGATCTCCAACACCTCGCTCAGCGCTACAAGAAGACTAAGCCAGTCCCGGACTTGAATTTCCTTTGTTCCTCAGTATTTCTGATGCAGACTCAGCTTGGTCCTGGATTATTTCCTGGCGCGTAGCTTAGTGTCGCTTCGGTAGACAGGACGCCTGATATCCGACTGTGGAATTCTCTGCTGCGGAGTCGGATTCATTGCCCCAGCAGCGATTGAGGAGACATCCAAGTCCTGCAGCATTTAAGCATCACAAACCTCTGCCACCACCACCCCGACCTAAGCAGCCATGGTATATTCATACTGCTTGACGTGACTTTGGTTTTCATCAGACATAACAGGGTTTAGCTCAGTCCAGAAGTCCCACTTCTGGTGAATCTGTGTATAGAATATTGTTCTGGAGGACATTACAGATGGCCAGCATTTATATTCTTAGAAAGCAGTGGGTTTTGGTCTTATTACTCTGCTGAGTAATTTGTTCTAGCTCAGGGTTTTCTGACGTGTGAGTCATAAATACTGACCTCAGTAGAGGCACAGAAGCCTGCAAGCTCCTGGTTTGTTCCCGGATTTTTAGCCTCCTGGATGGTTTAAAAGCCCGTTCTCTGCCACTCCTGGGCAGATTTACCGCTGCCCTCAGAACCTTAGAAATGGCTTGGTAACACGTCCCAGATGGATGAACATCAACAAACTTTCTATCCAGTTTGTTTATTTGTTTGTTTATTTAACTGGAGCATGATGCAGTTTTAGATCCAGTTGGTACTGGCACCTTCCCACCAATATAGGCCAGAGTTTTATGGATTTTTATCTTAAAGGGGTGGCCAAAATCAGGCCTGATTGTTAACCTAACTATTAAAACAATTGATCATCCCTTTAATTGGGTGAAGTTACTTGGAGAAGGTCATAACTTTTGTACGTTCATGCTGAACACCAAAAACAAGGCCAAAAGCAATATATATTGAGCGTATGCATTTTTTTC